CAGCCTTTCGGGCCCTCACCTTCCGCCGGCACACCTGCTCCACTGCCGTGCCCGGCGTGGTGCCCGTCACGTGTTGTCGCACCAACAACACGGCGCAAACGAAGCCGTCCCGGGCGCTGACGAAGCGCTGCTCCAGGAAAAACGCTCGGTGGTCCCAGCCTCGGATGCGTGTCCGGATGGTGAAACGTTCAAAGAGGTGCAGCGAACGCCGGAAGCGGCAGCAGGAGGCGGAGAGCATGGTGTGGCCCCCGAGGGCCCGGATAGCCTGGAAGAGCCCGCAACGGACCATGTACATGCAACGGGCCATGTCAGCCTCACGGGGGTACCGGGCGTTGTTCATGTGCACCAGGAGGTCCAAGTCGGAAGGCAGCACCCAGCTACGGAACTGCTGCTCTTGCAAAGGGTCAGCGAGTCTGGGCAGCAGCCACCTGGCATACAGGTAAATGAAGGGCATCCTCAGCAGGTACCAGCCATCCAGGCAGGTGAAGAAGGTGACGGCCGCCGTCCCACAGATCAGGAGCAGTGTCGACATGCTCGGGGGCTTACCTGGGCCCAGGTGATAGGATGCTCAGACGCACACCAGAGGGGCGGGAGGGAGGACCTTGGCCAGCAAGGTGCTGGCTAAGTCTTCCGGTCTGCTGGTGCAGCTGAGGAACGAACCACTCTGCACCGGGGGGTGGGGGTGGACTTCCAGCTCCTGCTCCCCCTTCCCCCCTTTTATTATTTTAATCCGCACTTTGGTTTCTTCCTGCTTCCAGCAATGTTCAGCCCCTCCCTTCTTGCTTAAGTCAGCTAATTCTGGGCCCAGGGTAGCCTGCACCGCCCCCTGGTGGCACCCCTGATCCCTGCAGCGCGCCCAGCCAAGGCAGGGCATCCGTTGGTTCCTTTTCCTCTTGCACAATAGACTGTATTTATGGAAAGGATCCGCAGTGCTATTTTTGTGAGCTGCTTTGTCTCGGGAAAGACTGCAAAGATTTCCAGAGGATTTGAGGGGGGCCGAATGGGATGATTGAAGGGGTGGCCATGTGATGTACAGATTGTGGAGGTTGAGGTGTTGTGGGGGGTGGCGGTTTGGAATGAAATTGCATTGTTATTTTTTTAATTGAAGAAAGAATAGGCATAGGGCGTGTGCCTTGAGAAGCCTGCATTCGTTTATTTATTTATTTTTGGCTTTGTTTTGATGGCTTTGCTTTTTTAATTTTTTTTTCCATTTTAACTGTTTTTTTTCCCCCAGGGGAGAAAGAAGGGAGGGATGGAAAAGGGAGGAAGGAAGGAAAGGAGGGAGGGAGGGAGAAGGAAAAATGGAGGAAGGAAGGAAGGAATGAAAAAGGGAGGGAGGGAGGGATGGAAAAGGGAGAAAGGGAGGGAAGGAGGGAAAATGG